GTAGTATTTTTCATCTTGGTTGTGAATATCTTGAAGTTTGAAGTACGACAGTTTTCTTCTCAATCTCATGTTGAGTTCTTGAGGTCTTCTTTTGAGGCCTTTTTTGCTTTGCATTTCCATGTTTTGCAAAAGAAAGCCTCACTTTTGTTAACTAGTATTTCAGAAAACTTTAAACTTTAGCTAAATTCTTTCAAAGTAAACTAAAACTTCGCCTTTTGAGCGACTCAAACACTACATGACTTTTGGCACGTTACAGGAAGCCCTTCCAATGCAGTTCTTGTTTGACATGCGCTGTCAACTTTACTTTTTGTTGCTTCGCCTCTTTTTGATCTCAATGCCTTGCCATATAATAAATATCTTATTAACCTCGTTTGCTCGGTCCGTACCGTAAGTTATGGATCCTCGTTTTTTTCACTTTTTTATGGCCCGCGCGCTACGCGCTTGGGCCATAAGGCAGTGGAAAAAACTCGGTCCATAACTTACGGTACGGACCTCGCACTCGGTTAATAAGAGCTATTTATTCTCGTTAAGAACAYGGACCTTAGTGTTGAGACTGATTCGATGCCTTTGTATTTAACGAAACCATTACCATGTCGGAATGGCCTATCGCCTATCGCCTTTGACGATGACGACGTTTTTTGAAATAGGTGTATGAATAAAGTATGTTAAACCCTATTAAACTTGACCATTTTACTACTTCACTTACCGCTCAGATGTGTGTGCAGAAACGCGGAAAAGATCTTAATGCCTGTTTCAGGCAAAGAAGAATTCTTAAGATGCTGAAAGCAATCATATTGAAACCAGTTGAAGTTGATTGATCACATTTAAAATATATTGCGCGCTCTTGTTTTAAAATTATTTTTAAAATGCATCTTATTTGGATGATTAGGCACTGATTTTCGGCAAGAGTGCATTGCGGGGGTATTACATGTTAATAATCAGTTAAAGGTAGCGAATGAATCTTATTACTATAGAATGAATGAATCTTATTACTAGAATGAATGGAAAAGAACCGCCTTCCATAAAATGCCCAATCAGCAGATGTATTCTGAGCTGGTAAAAATTCGACAATTGGCCCGAAAATGTTGCCTATTGATTATATATAACCTATTGCGCGAAATCGGAGAAGCGTTCAAGAAAGATGCCAGACGTTCAAGTTTCTTTTTACCTTTTCTGTGCAGCTTCTGGAACAAGAACTTGTAGTCAGCCACTTCCTTTGCTTAGGTGGGACCATGAGCCAAGGAGAGACAGAGCTGCCTACTGTAAATACACCAGCATCGTATTTACGTAGGTTAGGAGTGTAGAAAAATCGTACGCCTGAGTTATCTATAATGCCTGGAAAAAAAGACGCAAAGAAGACTTTGATGTAAAACGAAATCAAGAGACTATAATGATGAAGAGATGATGTAAACGGTATACGAATAAGGGCAATAGCGATTTTATTTGTTACTTAAACTTTTAGGTTTAAAACTGTACGTAGGTAATTTTTAAAATTAAAAAGGTTTCCTATATTTAACTTCGCGCCATTATCTTGTTAATTGAGAGACCTTTAGTACTACTTTTTGCTAGGTACCGCAAACCTCAGACTGCAGTTCGATGTCAGAATGAGAACAGAATTGACTTCCTTTTAATACCTGATTTGTGGTCTGGGTTGTCATAGTGTACTTCCATTACAAAGTACCTCCCAATGTGCTCTGCATCGATAGGGAATCCAACGTGTTGTGGATAAACGAATGGCTGAAGTAAAAGAAAATAAACTTTGTAAAACACTAACACTTGGCATGTATTGACTAGAGATGAGCAGAACGAAAATACAAACACAATATAGAAATAAAAAAATAGAAAAAGAAAACATTCTGCCCAAGGTAGAGAGGTCTGAGTCAATGTGCAGAACCAAATCAACAATCAAGTAACATACATACCCCACCCCCGACACCCCAAGCGGCAGCCAAGACCCCCAATCCACGGCACTTCATAACCTCAGCAGGCATATTGGCATAGTCATCGCAGTCAACACTGGCATTAAGATGTACACCTGGGAAATCCTTGTCACAGGCCATAACTATGAAGTGATGGACAACGCCTTCGTTTCCTTGCTGGACTACAGGATCAAACTGGAGATGTAAAATAAACAGGTAAGATTTGTGCTATATACTTAGGTTTGGGAGGTGAAAGTTCTGCTTGACTTGAGTTAGGAGGAAAAGCGCGTTCTAGCCGGGCCAGAAAACTCCCGACGCTGAAATCCACATATAACAGTATAAGCCACGACAAGAAGTATTTAGTATTATAATGTAACCGCATTCTCATATCCAGACCCTTCTCAGCTTTCTTTCTTTCTTTTTTGTTTGTTAATAATGATGTTTATTGATAATGAAAAAACTGTTACAAAACTCGCTTTCTATTTGGATGGCGGTGCATGCTTTATGAGAACACACAGCACGTGCGTACACATTCTATTTCGTCATTCGTCTATCCAAAGTAACGGCTGTTCTAAATTGAACTTAATAAAATATATTTTAAAAAACTTGCTTGTAGCGCTGTGTGGAGTTGTAAAGCATTTGGGAATTGACAAAATACTCAAGAAGTGTTGAGAAGTACGTTATATGCGTCTTGCTTCACCTAACATTTCTTTCGCGTTCTGCCACTCCCCGCATGCTTCGCAACTGGACACATGATCACGCACGCGTTTTCTTTCTTTTCAACCAAAGGCCCCCTTAATAGCACCCAGAACGAGAAGTTCCCCACTGACAACAAATTGAATAAAAATTTTTATTTATTTTTACGTATTTTGATGCATTAGGAAAGAACATATAAGAATATTTTACACTTACTCGAATGACATGGTTCTTTTTTGGGAAGTCAGGAATCTTATGCACGGAGCAGTGGTAAGTGGTGTGCTTGGAAGGAACCTCGTACTGTGAAGAAATTATAAAAGTTCTGTTTAATATTTATTATGAGCAATAAAAAGAAGACCCAAATTCGCATTAAAGTGGAATAATGTTGCGCAAATATGTTCTTGTGAAACGTGGCGCACGGTCATAATCTATAACGATGTTTTGTTGCTGCAAGATGTTGCAGGTTTTTTGAACGACCTTCAAAACTTACAACATTGTTGCATACATTAAAAACCCGCTTATAAGACCTAGATTTTTCCAAGCTGGACGTTAAAACGTTCTTATATAAATGGCGTTTGCTGCAAGGTTTGGCTTTTTGGGTTCTTAAACAGGTTCTTATTTTCTTAAGGAAAAAGCGACTGGTTTTTGGCAGGCGTGGTCTATTAATGATAAACATTATGCAAGAGCTTCTTTAAATGACTGCAATCTAAGCCAATAGAGGTTTTGCACCATCACGTGCCGGCGCCCATAATCCAGCTTGGACTGCCTGTGGTTAGATAGTAGAACAATAAAATCCCTTTGCTCTCGGGAATTGAGTTCTTTCTCATGTAAAACGATTGTCACTTGTTCCTGCCATCTAACATGGCTGCCGTCACGTGGTGACTCTATACAAACCCTATTTGCAGTTTAAACCTCATTATAAGTAATTTACAACTTACCGTGTGTACAATCTTTGTACAGTTTATTTTTTGATTTATATGTTTTTTAGTTTAGTTTTGACTCTATTTGATAAAATATGAACCTGCTTTAAAACTTTAGCCTAAAACAGGTTCTTATGTAAAGGGGGACTAAATGGAAAATCTTAGCATAACAGGTTCTTGAATTAGACGAGGTCAACTTTTGACACAAAAAAGTTGCGCTAAAAATCGTCTAGTGTAACATCGCCTTAACGTACATTTTTGTTGAGTATATTAAATGATGACCAGGATGGATCGGGTTTGTCCCTGTTTCCTTGAGAGTTCAGCAACAAGATGCTACGCGCATTTCTGTCGCTGGGTGTGTGTCCCTTCATCTGCGTGGGAGACACTGGATCCTCGTCGTTCAGTGCAAAGATCACTTTGGTGGTTCCTTCCTATAGTGAGGAAAATATTGGGAATAAGTTATCGTAATTATATCATTAAATATAATCCTATATAACATCACGGTATCACATGTTACTTTAGTAGGGATGGTTTCTTTCTCTTCATAAAACCCAACACCCTAAATACCATTTCAAAATATCATTTAACCGTGGAACCGTACCTTGAAATTTAAGGTTCCACTAAACAAATTTCGAACAGAAAAGCCGGGTTTTTCTTTCAAGTCCCGTTTACACTGGTGATTTTTGCGGCGATTTTTGTGGCAATTTTCGGAAATATGAAATCTTTTGTCTCATCCTTCAAAAGAGACATTCGTCTAGGAAAATATTGGTATCCTGAAAAAAACTTTACAAGTAAATTCTTTTCCATTATTTGTTATGGACAAAATCACAAAAAAATCGCTGTTGTAAACGGGGCTTCAGAGGAAGAAAAGAAAGAAGAAAAAGAAAAAGAAACAAACAAACAAAAAACAAAACAAAACAAAACAAAACAAAAAACAAAAAAAAACACAGATAAACAAAAATAATTTGTTTGCTGTTACCGTCAACTTTATATCTTTTTTATCACATGTATCGATTTTTCTGTAAAACTTGAGAATGGTTTTGCCATTTTTCTCTTCACCAAAAGTCAAATGGTAGTCGTTGTGTTCGTCTATTTCTGGCATCCATTGTCCTTCGGCGTAGCGATCCTGTGAATAAGGAAAGGAAGGGGATCATACTAATAATCCAAAATAGGAGCCCAATTTTATTGATTTTATCATATGTTTTGTTTCAAGTTTATTATAGCTAAGGTTGCGAATATCTTGAAGTGCGTCCTGTCATTTTGTTTATCAAAAGTGATGACACATAAAAACAAGCTTTAATAGAAATTTTGAATTCTTCCACTAGAGTTCAGGGGGGTCCTCTGACACACATGTGACTTTAGTAATTTGAACTTTATTGACATTGTCAAGTAACCTGACCCAAGGTAATTTAATAAGTGAATGGTGGCGAAAGGCGTCCAGAAAACTCAGGAGTCTGGAAAAATATACCCTACCAGCTAGGATCCAGGGTAAATTTAGCTGATTTCATGTTATTATTATTATTATTATATTATTATTTAGCCGGTCTCATGTTATTTCTTTTTTTCTCGGTAGCGCCTTGTTTCATCTTTTTATCGTTGGCGCATCAAGGGCCAGTAGTTGTACGGTGTCATGTTGCGCTTGGGCTGTACTGATCAAACTGCATACGGCGATTATTTAGTGGGTAAAGCGGTGCTACAAACGTTACTTTCTGGGATTTTATCAAAGAATTCACCACCACTGAGCTTCTTTGATTTGAGCACATTCAAAACGCGAAATCTATGTAAATACTAGTTRATTAAAAAATATAACTTTTTGGGGGTAATTTCATTAACAAAGCTCTATTTAAAGAACATTTATCAAAATTGGCGTAAATTTCGTGGAGCGTTTTAAAATTCCCTATAATAATAACCAAGAATCTTGAGAGAATCTTGAGGAATTCGTAGCTTTCAAAACATTTCTTGCTCACCTGGGGTATTCAGGAATGTGAGTCAGCACAAATGTGTTCCGTCTCACTTAACTTATAAGTTGAGTCAAATCAGGAATTCAAGAACGATAGAAGTAGTAGAAGCTGCAAAGTATGACCTTCTATTTACAGTTCAATATAATGTACCTTTGATACATATAGAAATAAAAACTCTTCATTGCAGAACTTCACAAATTTTTAACCGTTGTCGTACAACTGGAGTTTCGGTTGATGCTGATATTTTAAAAGCACATTGAGCAAGATCATTTTGTGACTAGTCATTCAGTGATTATCTTTTCATTAGATTTATGAATCTTACCGTCAAGAAAGGTTTGTCATCCTTTACCCATCCTATGACTATGTCTGCCCCAGTCATCCGACCCGACCCAGAAGATATTCCAAAACCAACCCAGCCTGTCGTAGCAGCCTCAAGAGCGAAGGAAACGCTCTGGTTCGACTGATGGATGGTCCAGTACAGCTTAACTTTTTCTGCAGGATCTAGGGCAGCGAAGTGGGCATAGTCATCAGACAGACTTGCAGAGGAAACAGAAAACAACGAGAGAATAGTTAAGAGGAGCATTGGCGCCATTTTGCTTTCCAGCAAAGATCAATTGCACTTTGTGCTTGTACAGCGTAATCCACTCAAAATAAACCGGGTGCACCTGACAGCTGTCAATGTTGTGAGTAATATAACACTGTTGCACTCTCTCTTTTAAGCAGCTGCTGAGCAAAAAGTCAACAGCGATACTTCATGTGACGTAATTAGCCTTTGTTTTGCATGCAGACCTAGCAACTCGCACAAAGTGACACAAAGCAACTCGCATTGTGAAAAGCYTTTTTCGTAGAAATTCGAATCCCATCGCAGATTAATCCCATCGCAATCTGCCTTGCCAGGGCTGGAAAGGATAACCTACTGGAATTCGTCATTATTTTAAAAAGAATCATGTTAACTATAATGCGCTGTTGTACCCCAAAAACAATGCAATGCAATACGCCATTTTGTGTAGGCGAACGAAAATAATATTAGAAAACAAAAACAAAAGCTTGATCACTATCCTGACATCTTCACACAAATCGAATATTTGGCCAACTGGGATGAAGTTAATCGAATAAATTATGATCGAGTGAAAATTTTTATCCTACTGTCAAGATATAACTTCGACGATGGAGATAAATTTATTTTAGCATAACCAAAATACAAAGATCACTCGGACTTTCTATTCAGTGCAGTGCGACAAATCGGTTATTTGAATCAATTTTTTTTCAGTGCCGATGAAACACTGACACCACTGAGCAAGTCTGACCAAGTGTCATCTGCATTACTTCAGTCGGCAGCATCGAAATGTATTTTATTTTATTACTAATGAAAAAATACTTCATTTATTCTACAGAAGAAAATAATAAAAATAAAGCTAACTAAGTGTACTTCAGTTATTTCAAGAGGGCAGCATTCTAGCAGTGCTTAGAGGTTGTTGTCAAACCTCATTCTATAATCAAAATGGAAATCAAAAAAGAACCAACAAAAATTTCTGCTTACAGAAGCTTGGCAGCGCATATCTATCCCGTGCTTAACTGGCTACTGGTTTCCAGACATGCCGAATGAGCCATCAGTGTTATAAAGGTATCTCGCCCTTTCTCTGCAACTTTGTCTGCACTATAACAGTATGCACTTGTTGTGATTTTACCTTTAATAGAAGCTAACCATGTTGTCTTGTATTCGCCTTCGCTTGCTAAGTCGAAATCAGAAACGAGTTTCGTCTATTTTCTCCACAATCTTATCTTTTTTTTCGTAAATTCTTGATGGCACAACTGTACTGCAAAAAAAAAAAAAAAAAAATCCAAATATTTAAGAACGGAAAACAACAATATTTCCACTGAAAAAAATAACGAAGTTAAGAATATTTGTTGTTCTCAAGAATGGCAAGAATAATTTAGGTAGGACTCAATCGATTTTTTCGGTTCTAAATAAGATAAAATATTAAAGAAAGGATAGCTATTTACCTTCAAAATACAATACTACCCAGGTGAACGATCCAGTCATGAAAAAACAACATTATCATCTATTATTGGCCGGCACCTTGAGCTGTTTTCTCGGTTTGCAGGAGGAATTAATCTTTCCAGTTCTCACAACTACAAAACAGAATAGGAATGAGAATTGAATAAAGTTAGAAACTACAGTTCGCAAACTGCCACTCACTGTAAACGAACGGAAGCGAACGGAAGCGAACGGAAGCGAACGGAAACGAAATTGATTGTTCTTATGGATCAGTGACAGAACTTCTCTTGCAACGTGAATATTTTTCCCTAACACTCATGATAAACTATCCAGCCATAAAGAATATAACATATTTATTTTTCATTTTCTTAATGCACCCTTCTTAAACTTGTGTTGAATACGAGTTTAACATGGAAATACAAAAGAATTCCGTCGAGAAAGAGTGTGATTTGTTTTATATTTTCATGTTTGTCTCGTATCCACGATACTACTAAGAATGGTCCATTGCCAAATAAGACACTTTACTTCAGTTTTCCGGCACAAGATACATATCACGAATTCACATTTTAGTTTGAAGAAACAAAGAAACTATTTCACTAACTGCTCACTGAAACAACCCGCCCTCCTATATATAGAGAAGAACACTTTTAAAATTCAAATTTGCTCATTGGCAGTTTAATTTTCTTTCGCTTGTCTTGACTTCCCGTATGATGTCTAGTAAATGCATGTTTCGAAGTTCTTTTAGCCTGGCTTTTGCTTATCAATAAGAAGAACCTTCTACATAGTATTTTCATATTCGCAAGACAAGCCCTTTTTCCCCAGTATATTTATAATTAATATTAACTATGGTTTATTTAAATAGCACTAAAGTACCTGCCCTTTACTGCTGCTCAGTTCTTCAATATGCATGACTGCAGTATCTAGTCTTCACGACGATCTGCAAATAAAATGAAACAGTAGATTCATGTTTAGGTTCAGTTAGTTGAATAAAAAAGGCATTCACTTTTTTCCCATGTACTCTTTGCTTTATATTCAGAATGGGAAAATTCTACAACAGATTTTTTACTGAAAAGTAGTAATGGCCCAGAGCTAAGCATAATTTTTCGGTAAAAAAATAAGCAAATAAAAGAAAGAAAGAAAGGAAAAGAGAAAACATACTGGCTACGTTCAAACATAGCTTATCTAGGCCCTAATTGAGTTGTCTTTCCGAGATCAGACTGAGCTCTCTACGCTGTAAATACTGAGTTGAGATTGAAGGTAAAAATAGAAGAAGCTTTTGTATGGATACACTAAATGAGATAAACTGCTTTGCTACATAACTAAACATGCTGAGCTATGCTGAGTTGAAACTRGTTTTGGCTTCACAAAGCTGTTAGTAAAGTTCGAGCTATACGGTTGGAGTCGTTATTCAATGTTCAGTATCAGTTCGGAAGACAGCGTTGTCTTAAATAAATCCATGCAAGTGTAACTGTTAATAGTTGTTTCAGAAAGTTCAATCTTTCATGTAAAGTGAATCTAAAAAAAATCTTTATTTGTAAACCAAAAGAAAAATACGATGCAAAACAACATTAAAAAAAGTTTAGTATCTGAGCTGTAGCATGAATGCATTTGTTGTCTCTGGTGCAAATAGGATTTTTTTTGGGATTTGAAGAATCGTGTCGCTCAAAGGATCCACACCGGACTATTTGAAGAGCTAAGGTATAGTGTAAACAACGAAGGAGTTGCATGTATTGATATAAGGATCAATAACTTCAATAAAAAAAAAAAAAGATAAAAAAAAAAGAAGAATGAAAGTCAACTAAGTTATATTTTCAAGAAGGATACAAAGACCTCGATCCATTGTATGCCTCTTTGACACCTCCAAAATTGATAAACAAAGAAGTCAAAGCTTATGCTGAAAAAAAGTCTTCCAGAAAACCCTAGTTCGGTTAAAAGTGTGAGTCCAAAACGATTTTGATAAGAACGGGAAAAAAGAAAAGAGTTATACACCCTAAAACCATTCCTTTTCTATATCTTCCCCGAAAATCTAAGACTTTTTTATTCAAGACACGTCCCTCGTGAGTTTTTTCGTGAAACAAAAGCACGATACACCCAGTTAATTACCTCTTACTTGCCGCGTAAAGCCGAGAACAACGACGTTGCCCTCGGGGAATACGAGTGTAATATCCTAAACGCGGCTTAAAACTGAGCGGTAAATAGTTTAACACTAAGCTGACTCGTGCACTGCGTCAGAGAGACAAGCCTCAGCTGCATGGGACAAAAACTTTTAACCAATGAGAAACCGCATATTATTTCCTCAATTTCACAAAACTTCAATTAATCTGAAGCTTTTAAAAATCTTTACATTGATATTGGAAACCATAGCCCAAAAAGTAGGGATTCTATTGCTGAAAGAAGAAGGGCATTTATAAATAACGCTGTCGTTATTGATTTTGGTATCTTTAATTAATCTATCTTTCCAGTCGTCGTAATTCTATTTTAATTCGCTTAGTCATCAAATCATTCAAGTTAATTTGTCTTGAAAGCTTATTCGAAGGTTCGTGTTTATCAAATAACTAAAAAGTCCCAAAAACAAAAGCATCGCAAGGATACTTCGAATATTTCCTGACATGATAGGAAAACCTTGAATCCATGTTGTCATAGTACATGGATGAAATATTATCTTTAATACTCGACTTATTATCTGCCTCTTAAAGATTAATTAATTCTAACCCTATTTTCTTATTTCAAGTAATCACGTTTAAGTCTTATTAGATCATGTTCAAGACTTACTCAAGTTGTGTCCAGTGAAGAGGCATTCCAAAATTCGTGTTCCAAGGATCCTTTCATATCAATACTTTATTTTTTGGGGTCTTTCCTTAGTTAATTGGCTAAAGAATGCGACGTCCATCAGCGTGTTAGCGGCTCCAGGTCCAAGAGACACCGTTAATTTCTTTTTCATCTCATTCAGGCTAATAATAAGTTGATTTGTTTGGGTTTGTCAGGGAATTATTGAAGTTACTCTCTGCTATATCATTGTCCTCTATTCCAAATCAATCGCCCATATCCAGAAAGCCTCAACCATTTCCTATCTACAATAACAATACGCCTGATAAAACTTCCAACTCTTTTTAGTGAAGACTAGAACGTATTTTTTGTGAATTAAAAGTTTACTTTTAGTACCTAATCCAAATTAGAGTCCTGCGAGTTGCTAAATTTTTAGGCTATTTTGAGTTCTTGGTGCCGAGAACAAAACACTCTACGGTTTTGTTTATAAGAAACACGAAAGGTTCTCATTGATCGGACGGTGTCTTTGAGTGAAAAAGGCTCGATTTAATTGCTTGATTACCACTAGCAATTGTTACGGTATAATACATCTGAATAGCGAGGTGTTATCCTTAGAAAACATGTGCGTGATTGGATATCCCTTGTCCTAACGGTAAAACACCAAACTTGCTTACTCATGTACCCACCTTGGCCAATATTTACCGTTGACTTTGTTGAAGTACGTAAGGTTCTTAGAACATGGTACATTAGGGATGCTGCATCATAAGATACGGATGATTTAAGGCTTGAAGGCACACCGACTCAGTGGGTGTAGACTTAATTTGAGGAATGTGAATCACTCTTTCGGGTAATTATAAGCAATTAGTTAACACTTTAGCTGCTTTTGTTCCTAGATGCTTTTTATGCAGACCTGCTGCCTGCCTGAACGTTCACATCTTTTAAGTGGTTCTTACTCAAATTGGCTCATAATCCATTGTTTTGTACTCATAATAATCACATCGTGGGTAGGTTATTTAGTGGTCAGGCAGTCTCAATGAGGAGTTAGAACGGCACTAAGTCTCGTGCAGTGCATTACAGTGCAGTATAACACAAGGTACCTTCCGAAGAATGATCACGATGACGATACTTTTTTCCTTCAGTCTATTTGTTGGACTTCTTTCGCAGGCCAGTGGCTGGTGGTAAGTTTTCGATTTTTTTTGTTCAGATATAGTTGAAACTACGCTTTCTCTGACATTGCTCCAAGAGTCATTTGCTAAAGTGAACCAACTATCTCCATTGATAGATATAATGGCAACTTTTTGATACGTTTTGACGTTTTCACGTCTGACATCAACATTGCTTTATGAGGTCGTCACGTTTCGTTAATCTTGTCTTTTCGGTTGCAAGCTTTTTCCAAGTCTTCACACAGAACTATTAAACGTTTGAAACGTCAACTTAGAGTTTTCGTTGTTTGCCAGTGCGAATATAGTTCAAACAGTTTGAATTCTTTGAATCTTCATTGAGTATAAGAGAGCATTTGTTGTTTGATTTATATGTCTTTTATGCTGAAGAAACAAGTAGAGTTTCATGGTTAACATCAGTAGCTAGGTCAGCAGCACCATTCCATACTTAACGAAAATTTTCTTAGAGAATTGCATGTTTTTCTTCAAGATTTTGTTTTAACATTTTTTTTACTTTAGGAGTCTTGGCTTTGACTACAGCTCGCCGGACCATAACATCCAACTATCCCCACCAAACCAAGTGAAAGCTCTGACTCAAAGACAAGTCAGAATATCAAAAAGATACCCTGAACTCATCCCATACATTGCTGCCGGAGCAAGAAAATCTATACTTGAATGTCAACATCAGTTTAGAGCCAGACGATGGAACTGTTCAGCACATAGCCCTGAAAACGTATTTGGGAAAATTTTGAAAGTTGGTATGTAGTAAAAGTTTCTTTAAAATCTATACTTAACCGTAAAGTTTGCTGCAATTTTACAATGATGAATATTACACTCATGTAAGAATGATGCGAGTATTTCACGGTTCGTTGTGTCTCCAATCTTCAAAGACGAAAATCATACTTGAAGAAGAATAAGAGAGAGTAAGAGTTTTTCGCTAATAAAGGTGGTAGATAAGGAAGAAAAGTAAGAGAAATTTTCAGTCGTAACATCGAAGGATAGCCTGTACATAACCAGATAGATCAGATCTTTCTTGTACGAATGACGCGTTTCCATTTCTGTATATCTGTTTGYCAAAGGCTTAGCTAAGATAAGAAAAATATTTGTTCGATATAGAAATGTTGACATTCTTGGTCAATTATACGTTAGCTATAGGCATTTCAAGAACCCGCTATTGAAGTAGTTATAAGGTTTTAAGTTTTAAGCTTAAAAATTTGGTMAAATCGTGTATGTGTTAGTTTAAGTAGTAAAATATCTTCAAAGGCCTCCACCGTTTCCACCTTGCTGAAGTAGATTCTTATTTTTAGTAAAGGGAACCACAAAAAAAAAAAAAAAAAAAAAAAAAAAAAAAAAAAAAAAAAAAAAAAGCGATTGTGTTGACTAAAGTCAAGGTTCAAAAACGTACAAACTTATTATATTGTTAAGTTTCCACAGAATTAAGCCATTTTCGTAATTTAAAATCTTCAAAATCTGCGGGAACTGACGTCGCAAGCAACTCGTACGTGATGAGGGAAACTACAAAATATATTAAGTTGTGTTAAGAAACAAAAAAAGATACATTAAAAATAAGAAACTGTGCGAAACCTAGAACGTACCAAAACCAAACAATGCACGAAATGATACGGTTCTCATTTTTAACGAAATCGTAAAACTATTTTCCACAGAGCCGAAACGAATTTTCATATCCGTTTCTGTACCACAAAGATCGAAGTTCGGTTCGGTTCGTTCAAGAGTGACAGGGAAGTCGACTTTCAAACAAATCTTTTTAAAGTGGAAAAAAAAAATTCTTTACCGAGAATTTTCTTGTTTTCTATCACAATCATCAGAAAAAAAACAAAAAAAACAAAAACAAAAAAAAACAAACAAAAAAAACACGTTAACTTTCAAGGTAACTTCCTTGAAAAGAATATTTCAACTGAGTTTACAATTAAGTGCAGTGTTGCAAATGAACTACTGGCAGAAAACTTCATTCGAAAATTTGAATGTCAAGAAAACTGTAGACACGTTTCTGATATATTTTCATTTTTGATTTCGAAACGTCTAAAAATAAAACTTAAAATTATGATATTAGAAGACAAAAACTTAATTCTATTCCTGAACAAACTAATAACGAATTAATATACCTGTGAAATACTTTTTGGAAATTCCGAAATTCTTAACTATTTAGAACACGTCCGAAAAAGGATGAGTAACAATATCCGTATTATCCAATGTTATTTAATAACTTTTCAAGTAGAAAAGGAAGGCATTTATTTTATAGATTTACAGGAACTTGTTTATTAAATGAAGGCGACGCCTTCAAATACCTGRGTGGTTTGAAAACAACCGATTATAATGTTGACTGTTCGGACGTGTGAAAAATAACGGACGACCCACGCAAATTTGTTTGTCCTGTCTGAGCTACGAAAGACTGAAAACGGAATAAGAGGATAATAACGGTTAGCAATTCCTGATTTTTTTTTCTTGAAGCATGCAAAGTAAGCATTATATTTGGAAAGTGGCTTGATTTTGATTGGTTTATGAAGATGGATTAGCAATATTTTCATAATCTTTTGAGGTATATTTGTCGCCTTATTGGCCGACTTCGGATGCTTCACTGAAAACACAATTACCAAAAAGAAAAAAACACGACAAAATTTATTTTCGTTCGTTATAAATATAACGCATTATTTTTCAATAATATGGACTAGATGCATGAATGTACGTGTATAGCAACAACAATTCTTATTTACGAATCTAATAAACGATGAATTCCGCGTATAGTGAGCTACAGTGTCGAGCAGGCATGAATCTCTCCGGTGGTATTGGAGAATATGAAGTACTAGGGTTTTTCATTGTTTCTCAAAGAAATTGCTCAATTTCGAAATTGCAAATAACATGTATAAGGCTATGCTTTAAAAATAAGAAAATTATTTTATTGCCATAAATATATTGATTAATATAGTATTGATTGATTTTACTTAATTCAATTCGGTTATATTTTAATTTGCTCTGCAGCTTATCTTGAATATAGGAAGAAACTGAGTCGTATTGTTAGTTATTCGAGGATTTTACGAGGTTCTTTCTCCGTTTAGACCTTTTTTTTACTTAATTCATTCCTCAGTTATAGGCTGCTTGCTTTATTAATTTAACTCAAGATTCACTTCACATGTTACCCATACTTACCCATACAGTGACTGAACTTTTCTTCTTCTTTTTCCTCCTCCTCTTCTTCTTTTTTGTTATACTTTTTCTCCTTATTCTTCTACTATTCCTACTTTTTCTCCTTCTTACTCTCAATCAGGATCATCTTCTTCATTATCGTCACCATCGGCATCGTCTTCTTCCCCTGTTCAGTTCATGTTGTTGTGTGGTTTTCGTCATGTTCTATTATCTTTAACTTTTCTCTCTCTCTTTGTGTTTTCTATGAAGAGCAACATTTACTTTTCAGAACTATAACGTCGAGAGACCATGGTCTTTTATAACATATATGTCTATTTTTTCCCAGCGTGCAGAGAAACTTCATTTACCTACGCCATTACATCAGCTGGTGTATCACACTCTATTGCGCGTGCTTGCAGCGAAGGAAAGCTGTCCGCATGCTCATGTGATCGCAGATACCGTGGAGTAAGCAAGGAAGGATGGCAGTGGGGCGGATGCAGCGACAACATCCATTTCGCTGACAATTTTTCGCGCAGATTCGTGGATGCTCGTGAGAAAGCCAGAGATTTCAGGGCACAGATTAACATGCATAACAATGAGGCTGGAAGGGCGGTGAGTACAAATATTGAGTAGATTGTGATCCAAGTAACCGAATTGGATCAATAATTTTTGCCAATCCGTATCCTCCCCCGGCCCCAGTTTCGCTCGGACCCTTGGGCGCCAGGAGGCTGCTTGGCCTTCTCTTTTGGCCAATTAAAAAAAAAAAAATTTTCGGACCGTGCATGCTTAAACCAATTTCTATAACTCAATTACTATTGTAGATGCATCCTTTCAAAAATAACCCTCATCTTCAGTGGCTTGAGTCCTCAATTCGAATGTCTATCTATTATCGACAAATTTGCATTGACATTTATCTTATCCAATAATAAACCTCAAGTATTGAGAGCAGGAACATATACTTTTTGGTTGCATGATGTAAACGTCCCAAACAACGAAAGATCCTCTTCAAAGATGTTCAAATCATAAGGACATAAGAATATCAGTTTTCTTCTGTGAAATGAAGCCAAATTAAAATCCATAATTTTGACTTTTTTCCTCATTTCTTTCGTACTCTAGGCTGTTCGCCAAAACATGATTCTCGAGTGTAAATGTCACGGCCTATCTGAAGCATGCACTGTTAAAACATGCTGGAAAAGGCTGCCCGACTTCCGCCACATTGGAGACGTATTAAAAACCAAATTTGACAACGCTTCGATGGTCGAATTTCAGCAAAACAATAACCGTAATGATAAACGCAAATCACCTGCGATCTTCGTCCCTGTAAAGGCATTCTTACGACGCCCCACGATCCATGATTTGGTGTATTACGAGGAGTCGCCGAACTTCTGCCGAAGGAGTCCCGACACTGGTTCCCTTGGAACAACTGGAAGAGAATGCAACAGTACATCTTTGGGCACTGATGGCTGCGATTTGATGTGCTGTGAAAGAGGATACACAACTAGTGTGCAGGAAAGAATAGAAAATTGTCTGTGTAAATTCTTCTGGTGCTGCGAGGTCAAGTGTGAGAAGTGTAAAACCAAAAGAATCGTAAATAGCTGCTTATAGGACTTTGTTGCTGCCCTGTTTAATAATAGGGATTTGGAATGCTTATCGATTTGATCAAATTATTTTGATGAAGCGTCAATATACGTTTTAGCCTTCTAGGAGGCAATATTTTTAATGCAGTATTTTTAGTGGTTTTGATAGAATCTGGATGACAATTCAGTTACAAAGTCAAACTGAATTACGTCGTTCACACCCAGAAAATCTCAAAATTGCAGATATGTTGGGAGGGTTTTTTATTATATGTTTTTATTACTGAGTAAGCCGCCTTTTTCATGAAGGTATATTATAGGGTATACTCTACTGCCCTCATGAATACATCATAATGATCTCATGATTAATTGTTGATTGTAGTCATCCTTACAAGGATTCTCACAATGGGGAGGGAGAAATGTTAAACAGTACAAGAAAAGTAAGACGCTCGACTCTCAGTGGATTTACCAAGAATTCTATTAGTTTAAAACTGAGACTACGCTTTAGTTGGCTGATCAATTTTTAAAAATGGAATAACTGTAAAAGGAGGGTAAATTTAGTAATTCGCAGCTTCATGAAGATTATTCACAAGGTTACGTTTATACTCCACTTTTAGGAGACAAAGAAAAGGAAAAAAATAAAACACTTACTTTTCTTCCTTCCTTCCTTCCTTCCTT